CACATCCTGTTGTTTAGCCTCTCTCATGCATGCGGAGTCCATTCTTGAATAAGAGTTTACCAGGCCCAGGTAACTTAAGGTGATCAAGGGACTGCCAACTGAGTTTTTCCGTGATGAGATGAGTATGCATGACGATGCCATTGAGTTTCATTTAGCCTACTCATTTGATCGTGGAAAAATCCCAACTACTTCTCCCTAAATCTCCTCAAGCGACTCAATTCGTGTTCAATAATTACAATTCGGCTTGAAAAAAAATTAAATTCTTGTTTATCATCTTTACGGCTTCGGACATTTGAAAAAGTTGAAGCAATAAAAACACAATAATTAATAGATATTCTATACTGACGCAGCACGGCAACCACCTGAGTGGCGCATCCTCATCTGAGATACAACCTTCTAGAGTTAAGCCACCATCAGTTTATGTAAAACTATTAGCCTAACCAGAAGTTATCGCATTTTGCCATAATATTTTAATTGTAATCTTTCTCAACTAAACTCTAACACACAAGTAAATAAAAATATTTTTACCCACATAAGTAAAACAATCTTTGGTATATACAGATTTCTCTTTTTGAAGCACTGTATCGATCTCTATAAATAATCAGGATAACCCATAGGGCCCACATGCGACTCTAAAGAATATCTTACGGTGGACAAGACATTCAGGGCAATACAGGGCCCTATATACTCATATTCAATCCCTGCCGTCATCCTTTCTATCGAGTTGCCATGTGTATGTATTTGTGTGAAGCCACCAGCCTTCAGATCCTGGGACAATCCTATTAATATTTCGACTCCTATATGAATGACATTTTCACCGTTTCAATGGTTCAGGTAGACTTCTCTAGAGTTTCTCGAGTCAATTCCACTTGAGAGTGCCATCTCCTCTCGCACGAATCGCCTCGACACTTACACTTCGGGCCTGTTCGCGATTATTTACTGTGAGACTCAACAGTGGGGCTGTTAACAAACAAGTCAGTGCTTTGGCGAAAATAATCGGAGTGAAGAACACGTCTCGGATCTGGTTGAATCTGCTTTCGCTGTAAGATACGTTCATGCCATAATGCCATAACAGCGATAAAGAGTAACCAATCACTCACTATGCTAAGTCCAATGGAAACGTGGGGCCTACTCATGAGATTGTGGAAGAAGTAAAATCTCACTCAGTCCTTCATCCTCCTAAGCGAAATAGGGTGAATACATCTCTTATATCAGATCCACCGGTCGCCTCAAAAACCAACTTATAAACGGAAAATAAAGCTTTTATCCTCTGATAAGGTTGCGCAAACGAGGTGTCCACGAAGATCTCGGTCATCAGCCGGTGCTGGTTACATTCCTACCGTGCCTTCTGGAGGCGGGCCGTTGTTACGGTCTCTTCTTTAGTTTTGAAACCTAGTCTATATGGATATAAGTAATTTGGTTGATTGTAATGAGAAGGAAAAAGTCTGTCTCATCGATAATCCCACCAAAATGTGATATGGAAGAGGCTTGACCCTCTTCGAAATTCGCTTCTGCTCTCTGATTGCTTGTGGCCGTATTGAGTATAGGGGGCAAGTCGAAATCCTACTGTCAACCAGCGCAGCCCGGATTCGATTCCCGTTGGGGTAAGGGTATAAGTGAAGCCCATTCTGGACGATAATACCTTTTAGGAAGTGAGGTTCAGTGGAAATTCACTGAAGATATGAGGCTTACTCAGCTAATTGGTCTTATTCAAGAATTACTGATATTTTATAAATCTCATTTTGTATGAATACCAGTTGCGGTTTGTTGTTTGTGCTGCGACGCTACTTCTTCACTGATTCCGAGCAGAGGATCAGGCACTTGCAAGCTCGAAGGTGAGGAAAGGTGTGAAAAAGCACACTCGGGTGAACTTGTAGTGGGAAACTCGGGAGATAAGAAGGGATCCCAACCGAAAATCTGCCTGGCTGTATGCCTATGTATGCGCAAGTGTGAAACAAGGCCATGATGCTGGGGGAGGCAGAGAGAAACAGCAATATGTCAGTCTTCATCCGGCCACCTGATTCTCACTGTTTCAATGGCGGTCGAGTACGTCGCGAGTGTTAAACTAAAGGTAGGGAGGAGTGTCGTTTCTTATAGGATTCCTCTCCACCTACCTCTGGCACCGTTTTCCTGCCCCTACCTCTGACAGGAAGTGTCGTCGTGCTTGAGTCTCAGAAGGCTTCCAAGCGGCGGAAAACGTCTAAAAATGGCACCACTTTCGTCTGTGCAGACACGAGAATGGATGAAAAAGACTTGCATATTCTCCTACCGAACTGGGGTCTTGATGACCCTGGTCAACCGCAGTGATTGGACGAGCCTGACAGATCTACAGTTCAAGTGCCCGTCCCAGCCCACTTTCGATCCCGGACTCGAGCATAGCGTCACCAGGCGACTGCTTTACGCCCGACCGCTTCGACTCGACGCTGGAGGACACAATTTCGCGACATGTTCCGCCTGAAGAGAACGGGA